TAAGGCTTTGACCTGCAGTTCACCGAAGAAGGGAAACTCACTCTCTCTCTCTCTCTCTCTCTCTCTCTCTCTCACACACACACACACACACACACACACACACACACCTTGTCTCTCTAGCATGTAGGAGAAAATAAGGCTTTGACCTGCAGTTCACCGAAGAAGGGAAGCTGGCCTGGGCTCTTTGTTAGAACATCAGGGTGTCACTGGTTGAAGCTGTTACTGGCCCCATAAATGCCCTCCGCCCAGAGACAACAGGACACTGAAGAGCACTATTCCAGAGGATGGGGAATACATGAAACCCCACGGGATGAGACGCCCAACCACAGACAGGTTCAACAAGCACCCTTTAAACACCAGCTGAGTCAAGGTGGCCTCCACGGCGATTCACAGCCAGAGGGCCCCCGGAACACAGCGATTTCATTTGGGGAAAAAACACGGAAGATGTAACAACTCCCTTTGCTGTGAATACTGATGAATATTTTTTCTGAGTTTACTAGGTGCCCACTGTTCTAGAAGACATGAAACAAGATGGCGAGATTCTTGCCGTCAAGCAAGTTGTCTTTTAGTGATTTCTCCGCTACACGTGGTATGTTCTCTATCACTTTTCTGCTTTTCTTACAGGCACAATTTGCATGCCGTTGCCTTTCCAGTTCACAGTCCTGTGAGTGCTAACGAAGGCAGCTGTGTAGCCGCCATCATGACGTCATCGCCTCGCCAGTCTTCCTCTGTGCTTTGGACTAATCTGCCCTTCAGCCCTAACCACTGACCACCACTGCTCCCGTCCTCTGCTTGTAGCTTCTCCTTCGTCTGCATGCAGTCTTACAGTGGGTAGCCTCTTTAGAACAGTGGTGGGCCTGTGAGACCAGAGGACGACTCTTTCTTTCGGGAGCCAGTTTGCACCTTTCATAGTGGGTTCCAGGTCTCAGACTCAGGTCATCAGGCTTGGGTGGCAGGTGCTTTTGCCCTCTGGGCCTCGCTGGCCCAGGGCCCAGGCTTCTGTCTAGTTGTTTTTTCGGTACCGAGGGTTGAATCCTGGCCCCTGCTAGGCAAGTGTTCTGTCACCGAGCTCTGTCCCCCACCCTCAAGGAGCCTTTTGCCCCCAACGTTCTGACCTGCCACAGTGCTCTGGAGATTCTTCCTCATTAATGTGCGTTTCATTGGTTCGTTTTTCCCCCTTTAACTTTTTATTATGAACATTCCCCAATATATAGTTAAGAGACTAACACAGTGAACCTGTATGCCTACCACTTCGATTCAGTAGTTGGTGGCATTCCGTCATATTTTTAAATGACATCTCTGTATAGAGACATACATTTACTGAAGCATTTGAAAGTAATTTATAAGGGCTGGAGAGATGGCTCTGTGGTTCAGAGTGCTCGCTGCCTTGCCAAGGCCCTGGGTTCAGTTCCCAGCACTCACATCGGGAAGCTGACGATTGCCTCTAACTCCAGT